GATCGGACCGTTCACATTTTTCACAGCCACTGTAGTTTCTCGTAGTTATGTGCTTGGAATGGGAGGGTGAGGCGAGGGTTTTGATATTGTGCTTTCGAGGTACATATTGCCATATACGGTTGCTCAAATCACAAAAAACAATTGTCACACAGTAAACCCACGGTTTTTGGAGGCCCCTGGGGGCCTGGAGCTGGAAAAGACTGTGGGGTGTTTATATTTTTTGTAAAATCTAATGCTTGGCTTTGTGACTTGAATCTAATGGTAACACATGGGAGGCACAAACAATAACAGCCAGTAAACCAGCTGTGAGAACAGCAGAAGATTGTCACAACCGAGGCTGGAAAGTGTAGGGCACTTTGTTTAAAGCTGCAGCAAGTAATTTTTTTTAAATAACTTTTTGTCATATTTGCTGAAACTTTCATTATATCCTGACAGTAGAACATGAGACAGGAGAAAAAATCCGGTTCCTCTGGTTCTTCCTAGTGCTCCTAATGGTATTTACAAGAATCCACTGGGCCTGAACAAAAAACAATCAATCAGAGCTGAGAAATATATAAAGACACTTCCCAAACTTTGTCCTTTGGGGACCCCTTTTCTATCGTTTAGTAAACTGACTAAGTGGCATATTTTATTGATATTTCATATTATATTAAAAACGGTACAATGAACCCAATTAGTGAAGAATTTTGCGCACATTTTTTCCTTTTCAGGGAACTTGTTATATAATTCTCTGTCTGTATTATGTATATTTTATCATTTTAACAATCATTCAGACTTAATAGGCTTCTTTTAATGTTTTTTTCTACAAATTCCGTGTTTTCTTGTCCCTGGCACTTGGCCATTGTTCTATTAGACAGTTTACGTTGCATGTGTTTTTCTTCTTTTTTACAGAAGTGAACCATACTAATATAGGCCTACTGTGTAAGTTTTCTTACACGCCTTAAATCCAAGAAGGCCTTGTGACCCCCACATAGCTTTGGCAACCCCCAGGTTGGGAACCACTTTCCTAAAACATCTGTATTTGATTCCCTGGAAATCAGACTCAATAATCGACTATCTTTCTCAGCTCTGATTGGTTGCTTTCGTTCAGGCCTGGTTGATTCTTGCAAATGCCATTAGGAGTGCTAGAATGAGCCAGAGGAACCTGATTTTTTATTTTTTTTATTTTTTTTTTTTTACAGATTATCTGTCTCATGTTCTACTGTCCAGGATATGTGAAAGTTTCAGCAGATATGACAAAAATATTTTTATTAAAATGACCTACTGCAGCTTAAAAAAAACACAAAATGTGTTGTTTTAAATGATGTTCTTTTGATTGAGTTGAGTATTGCTCAACTGGCTGGGAATAGTGTTGAAAGTCTTTCAGTGTGCTCCTGTTCTCTGTAGCACCGACAGTTAGCAGCTGGTGTAACTCAGCAGCTCTGTGAGGCACCATACGGGTAGGAAACACGGGAAAGTAAGGTGAAGCAGGCACGAAAGAAAAACTGAACTGTGTATTTGTCTGCCTGCCTGTCTATCTCTGCCTGTCTATCTCTGCCTTGTCTGTCTGCCTCCATTGGTTTCTATTGAGGCTATTTTTAGCCCCAGCAGACTGGTCACGTGGCAGGAGGAGGACGTCAATAATGTTGTTGTTGGTGGTGGGTGAGAGAGAGAGAGAGAGGGAGAAAGAGAGAGAGGGAGAAAGAGAGAGAGAGGCAGGGAGAGAGACAGACTGTAAATATGGAGGAGGCGAAACAACAGGAGGCAAGACGCGTCCTGCTTTGTTAAATTACACGTTTCCATGTGAAGTAAAAGCGCAGAGGAGCTCTACGCAGGGGGGGACACACCGAGCCTCGGCGGAAACCGAAGCCGGGAGGAAGCGACCTCTGCGCCCGTACGCGTTCCAGGAGGACCCGCCGACATCCACGGTACCGAGAGAGCGTGTGTGTGCGGGTGTGCGTGCGTGAGTGACTGTACAAGAAGGATACCTACAGGCTGGTAAAGGCTTTTTTGAACAGTGGTTGCAGAATGAGAGGTGGAACTGTGTGCTTGCTAAGCCATTGCCCACACTTGTACTGTACAGTTAACATCGTAGCTAACTTAGAAACTACTACAACAGCTAGCTTAAGGACACAGATACAACCGCTAACTAGCTTCCAAACAGGAAACACTTTCCAGCTATTCTGTGCTTTCACACCACAGCTACCTGCGTGCTTACTGACCAGGACTCACCAAACAGCTAGCAGCTAACTAGGACACAACTAACAGCTGACAACCTAAAGTTCAGCAGCCACCAGCTCCAGCACGAACCTACAGCTAACAGAGGACAGCAGGCAACCCTCTGCTGGTGGTTAGTGGACAACAGTGGCTCTCCACGGCTACCAGTGGAGATCTAACCAAATAAGTGAGTGACACAACAGCAGAAGTCATCCTCTGGAAGCTGGAATGGTGGCAATAAACCACTGTAGTGTTGTCTTATACTACCATGTCCAATGTACACTTTATGAATGAGGTGCCTTATTGGACATATGGGCACACTGCTGGCACACTGCTGTTCCTGAAGGTGTCTGGCGTCTTCCTTCAGTTTAATTGTCAGTGAGGACAGCAGCCCCCTCTCAGTGGTCAAGTTCACCGTACAGTGTGTCATCTTCGTTAACAAAAGACCTAGGTTGATGACGTTGTGTGGTAGGCATTGGGCGATTATCTTGGCCAAAATTATTGCGACGCGCGATATTATGATGATAATAATGGAAATATACTTCATACTGTTAAAATGGCACTAAAGCATACTGGAATCACTTTAACTTACATTTAGTTAGTAGACACACAAAGATGCAGGCTCCCCTTTACCGCCTTGTTCAAAAAATAAATCTATCTGAAAATCTATCTGATGTGATAGAAATTGTCGACCGACGAGGTCAAATGAAAGTTTTATTTGCGTTGCCATTAGTCACCTTCGCTGACTTCCTTTTCACCCTCTGACGTATCAGACGTTTCCCATGTTAGAGGCAGGCAAGAAAACGCACTGTTCCCTGAATAGAATGACAGATTTCTCTGGGTTTGAATGTTGTTAGAAACATTAAATGTAATATAAGTTCACAGTTCAACAAAATGTGTAAAGTAGGTCTAGTGTTTGTAGACATTTTATATCGTTATGCATGAAAAAACCTGTTACCTCCTGACGTTATCCTCCATGTCATCTACCGGTTTGTATATATGTGGCGGTGTTGTACTTTTGCTGTCACTGCATATTGACTGCCATGTTCTGTCTGACACATAACATTTACCTGGGTTGCCAGCTGCCACTGAATAATGTGGCAACATGAAACGCTCAAAATATCAAAATTGACTTTACTGCTGGCTTTGTCGTATTCGTCCCTGGAGTATGACCCTGGAGATTCTGCTTTTGTAGAGTTGATTGGACGGCAACGGGGGAGGGCTGTTAATATTTTGTCTGATGTTTTTGAAGCATTGATTAATCAGCCTGATAAAAATGGGCCCAAAAAAAAAGGAGAAGATGCTAGACTTTGGTACCGTTAGTTACGAGCAGTACTATCTAACTAAGCAAGCCCAAATTCTGTCGCCTTACATTGCAGCTATCACTTCCACTTGAAACAGTCTTTGTGATGGAAATCAATGTGACACTAACCAATGAACCAGAACATAGTTTTCTGAAAGAAATCTAAAAAAAATCAGATTTGTAAGATATTTTTATGTTCACAAAGAAAATCTAATGTTGTAATTTTGTGGTTTGCAGTCTGAAAAGCTCACTGTGGCATTGTCTTCTTTTCCCATTCCTCCCTTGCAATATTTGAAACTTGCCAGCTAAAACGCTAAAACGTGCTAAAACATCAAACAATAGCAGCAAGTGCTAAACGTTTAGGTGCCCAAGGGATCCAAATAATAGGAGTCTTTTGTACTGAAAAAGCTGAGCCTATAGTTGGCATTGATACAGAATGACTGAAGAATGTCATGGATTGGCCCTACTCTGAGGCGGTGACATCCGCGGGTGTAAAAACACCTGCAAGGACGACTCGGCATGCCATGAAGCGGATAAAGTGTGCCTACTACAGGACAGATCTCTGCGCTTAAACCAAAACGTCAACGTCATGTTTGTGTCAGAGAAAAAGGCTATAACCTAATGCAACAGTCTTACTGGGTTTCATTTGTAAGATTCATTCAGTTGTCTGCGCAGGCTGCAACTAACATTGTTTTATTATCTATAAATCTGTTGATTAGTTCCTTGATTTATTGATCGTTTTGGCCTGTTAAAATGCCCATTCCAACTTTCTTAAGCACAGGTTAATGTCTTCAAATGTCTTTTCTTGTCCAACCACCTGTCCAAAACTCAATGTTTAGTCTACCAGTGTTTGGAAAACGTTTCTCACCATGTACTACCTCAGAAAAGATCAGGTTTCATAAGTTACGTCATGAAGATTCTCCATTATAACAATAGTAATGGTTTTAAGAACCGGAGGTAATTTGGTGGACAAGGGGTACTCCTGGTCCACACTTCGCTTCCCTATAGTTTCTATTTGGAGCCACGATTGTTCATGAACTCAGTCTGAATGGATTCAAGCCCCTGGCCAGTGGGGGCG